ACTATAGGTTTATAATTGAGTCAAGAAAAATAAATAATTAAAATGCTATTTTTTTAATATTAATATGTAAAAATATTTACAAAACTTTTTCTTCAACTAAATATACTCTCTAAAAGTTAAACTCATTTATAAATAAATATTATTTTATGAATTAAGTATAAAATTTAAGTCTTAAAATTATTATTTTTAATTTTTAATTTTTTTTATGTATCAACTCAATATAAATATACAATTTAACATTGCTAAAGGAGAAATTAACATAAAAATGTGAAGGAAAAGAAAAACCTCAAAACGTACTAAAAACCTCAAAACTTTTTTGTAATGGTGGTGCATCTGGTTTCACCCACTTATTTTATTTTATAAAATAATAAATCTTAAGTATACGTACTAATCCAACCTGGCCTTTCGGGTCAAGTGACTCTAGTCACACTGGTAAGATTCATATCCCCCTCTCTCCAGGGTAACAGTTCGAGTCGGTCTCTTGACAAAATATTCAAAAAATATATATATATATATATACGTACTAAACATTCAACAAAATATTTTAAATTATAAAATTTGGCTTGAAAAAAGATATATTGAAGACCCCATCACAATAATATCAAAATAGTGAGCCAATAGTTTTAACAGACCCCATACATAAGAAAAATAGACCCCCCACATGTACCATGTCGGACTATGTGCCCCTGTGTTGCCCCCCAAACCTTCGAACCCCAGTGGTCCTCAGTTACGGGGCCCCTCTCCACGTGTCACCTCCATCGTAATTGCCATGTGGCATACTAGCATCAAATGTGTTATTCCAACATTTTCTTTCGACCAATATGTAGCGGCCAAGGCCTCACAACATTAATGTTTATGTGCGCCTGGTGCCGGAAATGACAAATTATATTTACGATATTTAGGAGACATGATGCTTTATTTGATGAAATTATTTAAATAATTTAGTGATTTTTTTTAAATAAAAAATTTTAAATTTGAATAGCATAAATGCAGTAAAATGCGATAAGATATGAAAAATAATTATTTTCATTGAAATAAAAATAAAAAAACTTGATTTGAAGTTTGCTTAGTTGTGGATTACACAATAATTAATTATTCATAAATGAATGAATTTTTTTAAATAGTATGAAATTATATAGAAATAGAACTCATTATAACTTAAAAAAGTTTAAATTATATAAAATTTTATATATATTACTTAATTCACATGTACAA